TATCACACACAGTAAATCCAGTCACAAATTTTTTTGGTTTTCCAGTGCATATAACAGCTATGCTTTACACTGTAGTCCATTAAGTGTGCAATAAACCAAAAACTAAACTCACTGCCGTCAGGTCGGATCCGACTCATAGCGACTCCTCCTTGGTTTTCTGAGGTGGTAAATCTTTATGGAAGTAGAGTGCCCAGTCTTCCTTCTGAGGAGTGGCTGGTGGGTTTGAACCACCAGCCTTAGGCACTAAGCCACCAGAGCTCCTCAAGTGTGCAATAACATTATGAAAAACTTTCAAATATTGGGGATGGAAAATTTGGAAAATTACCAAGATACTACACAGAGCCATAGAGCGAGCACGTGCTGTTGGAAAAACGGTGCTGACAGACTTACTCCACACAGGGTTGCCACAGACTTTCAATTTGTGAAAAAGTATGGACACAGCTTCCGTGGGTGGCCTTAGCACACACACACTAAAGCAAAACATGGTTTTATATACTTCCAGAAAACAAAAACAATCTTAAGCAAAACATATCATACATCCCTGGAATATACACATTTCCTCCTTGCTTAAACATAATCATATTCTCGCCACCCTCCTTCTGTGAAGTGTGAAACCAGTAGAGGTTAACTTTAAATAAAGTAAAAAGAGGATCAGAAATACCATGGTTTGGGCCTATTCCTTTGTCAGTCCCTTCTGTAATGCTAAGCATCTTAAAATTTTGACCTCTGGCCATCTTGATGCAACGATGGGTCTCTCATCATCCAGAGCAAAGAAGAATGAAGAAAACCAAAGATTCATGGAAACAGTCCAAGGGACTGTTACACCATGTGATCCTCAGCCTATACGACTGAGACCAGAAGAACTAGATGGTGCCCAACTATCACTGTCAACCACTTGGAGGGGGGAAATCTATGTAGAGATCCTAGATAGAGTGGGAGAACAATATGGAACAAAACTCAAAATCATCCAAAAAAAAAAAAAAAAAGATACCAGGTTTGCTGGCCTGATAGAGCCTGGTGGAACCCCTGAGACTATGGCCCCTAGCTGCCCTTCAAGTCTGCAGTTGAATCCACTGCTGTGGCTTCCAGTCAACAAAAGACAGGCATATGAGCTGGGCATTTACATTAGGTAGATAACACTTCTTGGAGAGGAGCTCTGGTGACATAGTGCCTAAGGCACTTGACTGCTAACCAGAAGCCTGGCGGTTCAAACCCACCAGCCACTCCTTGGAAGAAAGGTTGGATTATCTAATTCTGTAGTGATACCCGCCTGGGAAACCCAAGGAGGGGTTGCTATGAGTCGGGTCCAACTCAATGGCAGTGAGTTTGGTTTGGTTTTGGTACTCCTTGGAGAACTCAATCATGGGAGAACAGAAGGGCTGTGTATGCACAAGGAGACAGCTTGGGGGGCAGGAGTGCATGGAGGGAGGGACACAGAAGAGGTAACTATGGGGAGGAAGTGGGAAGAGCTGTTGCATTGTGGGAAATTGTAGTCAACGTCATGAGACAAAGTGTATGTGAACTGCTGTATGGAAAATGAATTTGCTCTGTAAACTCACCCAAATCACAATAAATATTTTAAAAAATTAAAAAAAATTGAGCTCTGTCACGTCTTACAATAAACAATCTCATAATACACAACAAGGCCTGCTGTGCTCAACATTGATTCTCA